GTTCGCTACTAGGGGCTCCTGGCCTTACTACTAGGAACAAGGACGCTACTAGTAACAAGAAGGTAACAAGAAGCTACTAGGGGCTCCAGGAATCTCCCACCAAGCGGCATGGGACGTGGCGTGACAGGGTGCTGGGGATTTGGGCGTGAGCAGATGGCTTGAGCCAGGGGCTTCCACCAAGTGCGGATGCATGACTGTCAGGACGCAGCCCGCAATTGGATGGGACATCTATTGAACCTGGTGAAACTTGCTGTATTCACAAAAGGTCTTGCGCATGAAGACCGTTCAAAGAACCACGACTGCTTGATCTATCCATTTCTTTCCTCCACCGTTTACAACTGTTCTTCTCTTCAACACCCCACGATGCTTGTCCAATGCAACGATGCAAAACTCTATAAAAAAGAGCCCCTGCACTAGGGATTGCTGGTCAGTGCCATGTGCCATGTGCCAGATCCTAGCCCAACACCTAGGGGAACCATTTCGGTGTTCTGTCTTTGTGGAGTTTCTATCCGACACCTTTGGTACACGTTCCTATGTGACATGTGCACAAGTCGAAAAAACGGGGGTCGGTGCTAATGTGCTGAACAATTCGGAAGCTACATCAGAAGCAGGATGCGATCTGCAGAAATAGATCGTTCTATTTTACTTAAAAACCTTCTTTTCAGCCCGCCCCCCTACACCCCCTACACCTTTTCTTGAGTAGGCGCCACTCCACTCCTGGAGCAGGAGTGTAAGCACATTTCGTGACCATCGGGTTGGTCACGGTTGGAACCCGGCAATAGTCTAATCTCCAGAAAAGAACACCAACAACTACAAACTCTACAAACTTGCGATGGCTGGTCGAGGGATCTTCCAAATCGAAAAGGATCTGAACCATCACAGCCTGCTTCCCAGCCATCCGTTCGAGCGACCGAGTTCGGACTCGACCCACGCCATCGCCCGTGAGCACGAGATCGCTCCCAGTTCCACGACATCGCTCCTCTTTTTCGGCCACGGTTCCCTATTCGAGGCGAATGCCGAAGGAGCTGCACGCTTGCCGGGCCAACTCTTCCGCCAACTTCAGGGCGAAAAACTGGCCTCGTCTTCCCCGACCGAGGAAAGCCGCCCCGGCGGCTTCGGACCCGGCGGCTGCGGACCCCTCGGTGAACCCGCGTGGTGGTGGTTTCCGGGGGCATGGCATGGGGCCGGAACCAAAGGGAGGACAAGAAAAACCATAGAAAACCACCAGTCCGGGACGACTCCGAAACGCGACCAGCGCTGGTGTGGACGGTGGAAGGGAGTTCCCTTTCCTTTCGATCTGCCGGCCACACAGCGAGGGTGAGGACGTGACGAATCGAATGGAAGATCTGGCCGGAATGGTCTTCACCCAGCGACGTTGATGAGAGTCCTAAAGGATCGCCATCAACATCACAAACCTGAAAGATTCGAAGATTTTAAAGTGGTTTGAACCCCAAAGATTCTTATGATGTGACAAGGAGTCTGTTGTTGGAAGAATCTGGGCCCCAGGCACCTCCCTTTCATCCCGATGCGACGCACCTGAGGCCTGTCCCACTGCGATGCGCTTCATTTCCCCCCGTCTTCATGGGCCTCAGCTGTTCTTGGAACCAGGACCAAGCACAATCGCACTCAGCGCTCAGCGGGGCTCCAGGGATGCTCAGGGCTCAGCTGAGCTGAGCCACACAGAGCTTCACAAAGAACAACAGGTTTTTGGGTCGTCAGATGTCGTCAAGTCACATGGACCTGGACCAACATCGCCGTTTTCGTGTGATTTCTTCCGAATTGGCGAAGAATCCCAGCGGTTTCCTTTTTGAGGCGGTGTCCCAACACAACCGGAGAGGACTCCACCTTTACAGCCAAATGAAGGCTTGGGAGATGCCAAGGATTTGGTCCTTCTGTTGAGAAAAGGTGGACAGCTGCTGCCCCAATGAGAACCCCAACTTTCCTTGGGTCTTTTTCAGAATGTGTGGACATTCCGCATATTGACATCATTTCATGAAGCACAAGAACTTGAGTAGGTTCTCTAGTAAAGAGATTTCCGGTCTGAATGAAGAAACTAGTGTCCACCGAGTGCTCTGAGTGCGCCAAGGAAAAAGACAACACGGATCTTGAGCGCGGACCTCTGAGTTGCATGAGTCGCCACCAAAGCTTCACCACAGCGGAAAAGACAAACTTTGCTCCGTATCGGGTCAGAAGCATGTGCCGACGCCCAAAAGGTAACATTTTGGGACAGCAAGGTGGTTTTCTCTCTCTCTCTCTCACACACACACACATTACGCGCATTAAGTACCAGATTGTTTGTTTGTCTTTTTTTGGCGTTCTTTCATGGTCACTTGTTGCAGCTCTGGTGGCGTCTCAGGAAAGTGCCGGATGAGAATCGCCTCGATGTTCTGTCTCAAGGCGGCCACAAAATCCGTCATCTCCTTGGGACGTCCAAAGGGCTTTCTCGAAGAAAAAGAGAACCGGTAATGGCAGGTTGACCTCCCAGGTGGTTTGTGCTTGGAAATCCGGTTTGGGGTGATGGATGGCCTTTTCGGTCTTGAGTGTCTCATGTATTTAGATGTATTCAGTAGGTGGTCTGAGACGGGTCTACACGGTACAAAGGCAAGACAGCTGAAAGATTTCAAGGCGCCAGTACCATTAAAAAAAACCTCTCACATCAAGACATCGTCATGATACCACCTATCAAAGGCTTTTTGCCAAGGAATATCATGGCACTGGATGCATGTTATGTACAACTTTAACCTTCTAGCTCATGAACGCAACAAACGAAACACCCTGTCCCCAACAACCCATGCAAGAGGGAAAACGGGCGGATCAAATTCGGGTCGGGGGGAGGTTGGAAGGGAGAAAACACCTTGTTTCATAGCATAGATGAAAGTCTGGAACTTAGAACAGGCTGCGATGATTTGCGATGTGGATCTGTAGAAGGGTTCAAGGGAACAAAAGGCCATACCCAGCTTGAATCTCTACGTCTTGAATCTCTCGCGCATCCTGGAGAGGTGCTAGACGCCATCCCGCAGTGCTCGACGACTTTTTTGGAGGAGTAACGACCTGGACACGTCCTCACAATCCACCAGCTGAAGTACACCAATAGCAGCTATCCCGATTTTCCCGAGAGGACCCGACCCACCCAGTTTCATTGGACAAGCCATTCTGGCAATTCGAGTCACCCTGGCAATTTTTGCACTGACTGGGTCACAAACCGGATGGCTACATGGCTAGTAGTAACAAGTGCCACGCTAGTAGTAACAGGTGCCTTACTAGTAGTAGCAAGAAGCTACTAGTAACAAGGGCATTACTACTAGGAACAATTGCCAACAAACCCATCAGATGACTCACAGTGTTTCGTTCCTCTCAGCCCAGCTGCGTCCAACTCCTCTTTATCAGGACCCCTCTCGGCCTTACCCCAGTAAGCTCCGCCCATTTTTTTTGCAGAGTTCCTGGGAGCACACAGGGACGACCGCCCAACATGAAAGCACCACAGTTCGACCGGTTCCATAGGTTAACACCATTCCACCTTGCACCTTTCACACAATCAAATTTGTGTTGATTCTGCATCTGAGTCTACTTTCATACAACATGCTTGTTTGAAAAGGATATCTGGGTGTTGAACACCTCATCTTCCGCTTGACCTGCCTAGGCCTCACAGACAAAGAGTCACAGACTTTGATCAATCTTTTTCCGATATAGCTGAAAGCTATAGATTATAGACCCCCAAATCGATCCCACGTAGAGAATGTATTCGAATACTCGTGCAATCCGGTCATCGATTTGGGGACTTACTATATAGGGGGTTCTTACTTCTCAAGAGGATCTGGGGTCTATGCCGGATCCAACCAAAAGGGCACGGAGCTGTATAGTAGTGATCGATCCACACAGCCGCCATCCCTGGTCCAGGATGGGAGACAAGGTCCCACTTTGTTGAGTGGTCCATGGCCACATGGCTGTGGGGAGATTTCTTTCTCCTAAGTAGGGCTCCGATGTGACTGAGATGTTACCCATGGGTGTCCCTTTCATTCCCCTTCCCACTTTTCCGTCGTCCCTTTCTAGTGTTCTTTTTCCTTTTCTTCCACTTTCATGGTGTGTCAAAAAGGAAGGCGACGTGGATTCCCATCATCGAGGTACTTCTGCTCGCATTCGATCTTCCTTTCGACTCCTCACCACTGTACCTGGGCACCGACTCGGCTTGCCGCCGACTCGGCGGAACCCCCGCCGGTGACGTCGAGTCGACCCGCCGAACGGCGGAACCGAGGAACGGGAGCCGAGGCCAGCCGTGCCGCCGAGCCGAGGCCAAGGTGGGGACATCTGGAGGTTAGGTGCACGAGCTACGTGTGAAATCAAGTCAAAGAAGGGGGGGGCGAAGGAAATGGTTCATGCGAGACCTGGAATGCCATTTTCAGGGACAGCGGGCTGGAAGACACCTAGACTTGCCATGTGTAAGACTAAAACCTTCACCAGTTGGGAGCCAAGCTGTCCAGTCCCTCATTCGACCTAGGGATTAGTTCGACCGGATTTGCGTCGCAGGAGACTTTGAAAACCAGAGGTCCAAGCGATTCCGCCTGCGTCCAGGCGACTGGCTTGGTCTTGCTTGACAAACTGCTCATAGGTGGCAGCATCCTCCGGCGAGCGATAGGCCGTGGAGTAGTAGTAGACCCAAGGATTGGTCTGGTCCGTGGGAAAATACCTGGCGTCGTGTGAGGCTGAAGCATCGCATCGCTTCGACCCAACACCCACCTTCACGCCGAGCACCGGGCACATCTGGAGACGCCACTTTTTCCGTGTTAAATGCTGAAATCCGAAGGTGCTCCAAGCATTTTGAAGCCGCCATGGATGACTCCCCACTTGGATGGATTTCCATTTTTAGTGAATCCCAGGAAATCATGTCACCTATTGGGAGACCATAAAGCACAGATTTCAGGAAAAAAACATGCTGAGTGGATCGCCTCACATGGATACAGGAGTAAGTTGATAGAAAGCCCATCCTGCAGCACCTGAGGTTTTCAAGAAATCTGATTGATTCCAGCACCATCCATTTCGGGTATCTATAAATCCTTTCCGTCTTGCTGGTTCTTCAATGATTCAATGTCTAAGTCTATATGTCTCCCTTTTCCTTCCACACACCTCCGAAAAGGCAACCTCGGTGTTTCCTTCCACAACCTCGGGTCCCAGTGGCATCACCTTTCCTCCCTCGTAGTATTCCTGTAAGAACCGCGTGAAGCGAAGATCACAGAAGGGATGTAGCAGGGTTTCGTCGTTGCAGATCTCCAGGAACGCGCCCAGGCTTCCCGTCGGACAGGCAAAGTCGAAGAACTCCTGGCGCGTCGCCTTCGACCGGGTCTCCAGACCATTCACGCCTCCACCAGCATCCTCGAGACCGGCCACTTTCGGGCACCGGAGAACCAGGAGACCCCTTTTTTTGGAGTCCGGTCCTGGTGAAAGAAGCACACCCAAGGGCCCATTTGGGCGTGGTGTTTCCTCGAGTTTCCACCTCGAAACGGGATCCTCCGTTCTGTTGGGCCAGAAAACCCATCGAAGGACCCGTCCTCATTAGGGTTGCCCCATGTGGACCCGTCTGTGTTGAGGGAGGTGTTTGTCGTTTGGTGCTAACAAAACCCAAGAACACGACTAGGCGCTTCAACGCCCGCTTCCCTCAACGAAACATCCCCCCCCAAATCCACCCACCCTGCGACCTTCTCCCAATCTCCGGAAGAAGCGAAAGGAACGGGGCGCAGGGTGAACGGGCTCCTCCTCTTGATGCACCCCACCACAGTGCATGGCGGCACCTTTGGCCAGTTGCTGCTCGACCATCGACGCGCTCGTGGCCACGTCCGTCCGATGCTTGGGACGGACCTTGTGGGTGGCACAGACCTGGGCGCCGCTCGACGCCGCTCGATCGACCCGCGGAACCGCGGAACCGCGTTGGAACAAAGAGAACGAACGAACGAAGGAACGTCTGTCTCTTTTTCCCGAAGAAAGGCATGAACAGCCATTGTTTTGCTTGTTTTTGTTTTCTAAGAGAATTCGATCAATCACCCGAATACTGGAAGATCATATATGGGAAGGGAGAAGAGTTCGAGGAGAGTCTTGGACTTGTTCTCTAGATAGTGAGTGCAAAACATGGTGAGGCCTGTGGAAAAGCTGGAAGAACACATGGGAACATGTGAAAGCGTCAGAACCCCTGAAGCTCTGCGAACAGATTTTGACCTTGCCAAGATATTGCACGTATGTTTGTTTCGGAACTTCTTGCTTGGATTGTCTGGTCCTCAATGGCAAGGTCCAGGAGTCACATGGAGGGCCTGGGTGGTGACAGGCTCGTCCCATGGAGTTGGAGCGCGTGGAAGTGACATTCTGGGCACACCCAACCGACTACCTCGAGTGACTGGGTCACGCCCGGCGTCTTCCTTCGCGGCGCTTCAGTGCTTTCCCGAGGCACGCCCGTCACGCCCGGCTGCCGCCCGTGTCGGTCGACGACCGCGCCATAGAGGCGCACCCGCTCGGGGCCCCAGAGGTCGTCGTCGTCGGAGAAGAGGAGCCACGTGTTGGGCGGCTCCTTGGAGATGTACTCCTCACGATGTGTGCCACACGTGTGCAGTGCTGGCGACGGCCAAATGAGACGTTTCTTTTTGGGGTCCTCTCTTCTTTTTTTCTGCGACTTGTTTAGAAGTGGCATGAGGGGTGAAGGAAGGGCCCTCCGTCACGGATTCAGGTTTGGATCACACCTCAATTTTCCCAGCGACAATAGAATTAGAATCTTGGAACAAACATCTGATCGAGGTCGCGATGTATCACGCAACCAGCTGCGTGACATCGTTTTTGCTTTTCTCTATTGCAAAACAACTTGTCTAATCAACCTAATCTATTTGTAGGTGGAAGCACCCCCATCCTTCATGCACTTCATGCCTTGCTCTCCCGGTGCGTTCCCATCCTGATAGAGCCATCGGATGTCGTAGAACTGAGAGGTTCGCCGGTCTTGCCGCAACGTCTTCACGTGGACATGCTCCTCAAGCAGTGAAGGTCCGATGTCCTCTGATGTCCTCCATCGGTACGTAACGGATTCCTTGAGAACCACGAGGTGGTCTCACGTCTTACATCGTTTTACCGGTATTTTTATATAGTTTACCTTGCATACCATGTTTCATGGAAGGTCAATTTGTAAACCACTGACCTTCCATTTTACAAGTATTTCCTTGTATATAATTCCTGGTATTTCGCATCTGGTGCACTTGCCCCATGCGGAAGTGTACAAGGCCTCCGGATGCCAAGTCTCTTTCGCAAGTGGCCTTTGAAGAGAATATCGGAATATCATAGACTACAATATATCCTTTCAAAACTTCCAAGAACCTCCCAAAAAAGTGTTGCCCCGCCAAAAGCGCGTGACTGGTGGATGGATTTGTTTGGGGTGTCAACCGAGCCCATGGGGACCGGTGGGGAATGAAGGTGTGACTGTGACTCACAGACACATCATGCCACATGTGTCTTCCGGTCTTTGTCGTTTTTTTCGTCACCTGGAGGGAGGCCAACAACGCTTCCACCTTGGGAGCCAAGGACTCCGGCGACGACCAGACCTCGCTTCGTCTCTTCACGGCGACGGGTCGAGCAGCGAAAGAGCGGCTGAAGCTTCATGCTACGAACGGAGCAAGGAAGCTACGAACGGGGCTCCTGGCCCTACTACTAGGAGCAAGGACGCTACTACGGACAAAGGGCATCGCTGCTAGGAGCAAGATCAGCTTTCAAAAGAACGGCGTTGGTGGGGAGCCCAGGGCGCGTTTGCCCCAGAGTGGTAGGTGAGGTTGAGTCGTGTTCTTGGATCACGAAATCTACTGCGTACCGCTGCAGTGGAAGAACTCTTCAAAAAGAACACATTTCATAAAATTTCATTGAAAACAAGGGAGCACGAAAAGACGATAAGGTCTCTTTTTGCAATAGAGTCCTTCTAAGGAGGCCTGATCAAAGGAGCCCTTACCATCCCTTATTTTTTCCGTATTGTGTGTGTTTTCAATACTTCCAAACTCATTCTTTGGCATTCACAAGTGTTGTCCAGGTGAGTGAAAACTCAGTAGCATCAGCTTTTTGTCAGGATGTCCAGTGACCTTCAACATTGCGAGGCCAACTCTTGGATCCACTCAAAGAAATATAGATTGTGAGCATAATATTTATAATTCTACAAGGTAGCTAGTAGCTTTCATGCCTTGCTAAAGAACCAGTGGATGCTGGTTTGAAGATTGAAATTCTTCATCAAATTCATTGCTTTTGGGTTGACAGCGTGAAACCCCTTCTGGGGCAAACCACAACACCTGCCCCGAATCGAGTCTCGAGCTTTCCTCGACTCGCTGTGCAAACTTTCGGCCGATGAACTATATAATAAACAATTCGCCCCCCAGAAGCAAACGAGTTGTGATGAAAGTAGGGAAAGTTTCGGGCTGGAGCCTTTCCCTCCTTCGCTACACGCTCTTCATCGAACCAGCTCAAGGCAAATCCTATGCGAAGACACAACGAAGAAGCCCGCCAGCGCTTGGGTCTGCTGGGCGATGGAGTCGAAGCAATGCTCCAAACGCTTCAGCCGCTTCCTCTCGGCCGAAACGATGCGGCGTTTTCGCGACCCAATTACTGGGAAAACACGTGCCAGCAATGGCAAAGATCCGTTCTCGCCCGGCTTTTGCATGCTTCTCTTTTTGGCTAATAGAGTCGTTGATGTTTGATCCCTCCATTCATGCAACGTCGTGTTTGGTGCAACTGCACGGCTTGCAATCTGGTACCGGCGTTTCGCCACTCTCTTGTTTCGATTTCCTACCTCCCCGGTATCCACGTGCTGAATTCTCTGGCAGCATGTGTCCTCCGTTACAGCGGGGACCAGTTTGGTGCCAAAGAGGTCTGTCCAGAGATGGCCATGTCCCGACGGCTTTGGCTTTTAGGCCCAAAACTCTTACGATGCTTGGGTATTCTTCCCCTCGCTCTGAGAGGTGCGGAGCCCGAGATGTTGAGGCGAACGAACTTCGACCCAAGTGATGTCTCTCCCCCAAAAAGACCAACATTCAATTCACTGGTTCACTGGTTCAGTCCATCCGAGTGGCTCATCGCCCACGTGACTGGATAAGACTCCACAAAGGCGCAAGGGGCCGTTCAAGGGCTCAGGCATGCGCGGCATGAGTGCGAAGCGAAGGGGCACCGATGCACCCAAGGAGACCTGTCGATCGCCTGAGCGATCGAAGAAGTTTTCGGAGCGGATAGAGGGGTTGGATATCGGAGATGGCCAGGCTCCGTTTCCACATGAGGGCAAGTGGACCAGTGGCATCTCTATGAACTCTCAGGCTGTTAAGACCCATTTTTGATGCCTTGAAGGACCTTGGTTCCCCTGTCCAAACAAGAAGCGACACTGTCTGACATAAGAGCCAGTCTGTTTGGGAGACGGTCTGATGGTGTCCGCCTTTCACACTTGAAGGGCCCTGTTCTTTCGTTGGTTCGTCGTCTTTCGTCAAAACTTTGAGCCAAAAGGAGCGAGCCCAGGAAGCGACTCGTTCGATCGCTCCGTTCGTAGCGATGCCAGGAGCCTCTAGTAGCGTCCTTGCTCCTAGGAAGCGACTCGTTCGTGTTCTTTCAAAAGAGTAGTACGGATTCTCCGTTCGTAGCGATGCCCGTGTTCCTAGTAGCGTCCTTGTTCCTAGTAGTAAGGCCAGGAGTCCCTAGTAGCTTCTTGTTACTAGTAGTAAGGATGCTCCTAGTAGTCAGGCCAAGAGCCCCTAGTAGGGTTCTTGCTCCTAGTTCTTTCAAAAGAGGAATGTCTTGTGCATCCAAGGGTCTACAGACTGACCTTACTCGTTGAGGTTTCCTGACTTTGTCATTCAGATTCAGGTTTCCTGACTCACGCTTTCCTGACTCTATCTTCTCCCCCTTACTTGCTGGTCTGCTTCAGGCACGATATCGGGCTGCCTCGAAATCGGGCCCAACTTTTCGGAACCAGTGCATGTTGCTATAGGAAAGATGTGCCGAATGTGCACATTCAAAAGTCATTTTGAGCACAGTGACGCGGCATGCCACGTGTTGCCGAAGTGTTGCCCAGGATGCACAGGGAACAAAAGAAATCATTCGATTGCATCGGCAGGGCTTTCTGTGACCAGAATCTCAGCCATCGATCATGTAGACGCTGGATAAATAGAACCACCCAAACACGGATTCTAAAACCTCTTATTCAGGCTTGCTTGGGGGGGTGGAAGTGGAAATACTATCAACAAACAGCTACTAGGTGGAGGCATCGCTATTTTGTTCGAGGCCAAGGGTACTAGTATAGCAAGGACGCTACGAACGGGGCTCCTGGCCGTACTACTAGGAGCAAGTAGCTACGAACGTAACAAGAAGCTACGAACGGGGCTCCTGGCATCGCTACTAGTAGCAAGGACGCTACTAGTGTGCGCAGCTCCGAGTTATTGCAGTCTACAGACGTGGGACACCACGGACGGCCGCCCCACATACGCCATGGACCTGCCCGTTGCACCGCAGCGACGTAGCCAACGCGATGAATCGCACACACAAAGCCTTCGGCGTCGGTGCCAGTTGTGACACCGCCTTTTCCTTGGTCAACCCTGATAAGACACGCAAGTCATGCCGCAAAACATGCAAAGCTACCAAAGCTGCTTTTACGATTTCGATTGACCAACAAAGACCTTGACGGAGTTACATGGAGGCCAGGGTGGTGTGGCTCGTCTCATCCGATGTAAGGGCGCCCCAAAAACCTCCGATAGCTCCTCCATGGAACTGCGGGAAATGACCTGCTTTCGGACAAACCAGAAGGACCTTCGGACAATTCACCCCAAAGGATCCGATCAGACGCACCGGTCGGTGAAAAAAAAGTGTTACCGCTTCGTACGCTTCGCGTCGCGGCGAGACTGG